ACACTTCATGTAAACAGCACTGAATCAGGGCAGAGGCTGCCTTTAAATAGAGGCCTCTCTAAATTCAGGGAATGCATTTTCTCCGTAACGTCTTTATCAAACGACTCCCATGCCAATTAACCTTCAAAGGCTTCTTCTACATGATAATTACTTCTTAAGTGAAAATAATGCAAACAACAGATTTACCTTGTAAGAAACAGAGCATTGTTGGAAAATCTCTGACAGCAGAAGAATCAGCCAACTGAGGCTGCCAGCAGAATCTTTGTACATTTATTACGGTTTAGTAGTTTTACATTAAAGTACACCAGCCATTGTCAGCCATAGTTGGCAGGTTTTTTAAGCTTAAAATCCCACAGGGACTGACAGAATATAATTGGCAACTACGGATCCATTATCTGAAACAATGTCAAATTTCTGGCTTTATAATGATTAAACCAATTTCCACCTGACCTCTGTAACTTCGAAACTTCTTCGGCGAGATGAAGAGGTCAGAAAGTGCTGACGCTGCTGACCCTGACTGCAGTCAATATTTTAAGAATCCCTGAATTCCAGTGCTGTGCACATCAATAGGGCAGACACACAATTAAAGTCATACTTAAAGTTTTCCAGCTACAATGCTTAAAAAAAAGGAGGCCGAAAAAAAAATCAATGTGAAAAGACGGACAAATATTTTTCATTCAAAATCCAAAAATATCTGTATACAGTACACACACACTTACTTGTGGAGACAGGGCAGTGGGAGGCTGGGTGAAGAGTGTGGAGTGGGCTGCTGACCGTAGACCGTGTGCTCTCCTGACAGTCTGACGGGTGAAAGGAGCAGACAATACATCCTGCTGTGGAAAGACACAAACAGACACGCATGTCAAGTTGACGAGGCGTTACATCGGCTCAAAGTCTTTGGTTTGGTGCATAATTCATAATTTTACACACAACCATTGGAGATGTCCTTAAAACATTGCTGTTTTAAGACAAACAGTCCCTCTGGAGTGACACTATGAAGAACATTAAGTTCCAAATATGGTAGGACTGTCGTATTGCTAGAATTTCAATCGCGGTTTTGATTTTGCCTCTCATGGAACCCAAAAGTGAGGTAATAAAAAATGGCTTTCATTATTTTGACACATTACACTCTGCAGGTGTACTCTTGTATCCATCTGGGTATCAGCTAAAAGGTAAACTGAGTTCACAATTCTGACATGATGCACCGTTCAGCAACACTACCTACTTCATTTGAACATCTGAGCAGATCTTCATAGGTTGAGTGTGTTCCGTAAAATCTATTTAAACTTAATTCTTGGAAAAAGAAATGTGACCGACTTACTGAGAAATTTAACACTGCACCTCCTCTAAAGGACTGATGAAAACACTGACCTGCCTGGAGCTGTTCCACACCAGAATCGAGATTAGCATTTAACTTCTTTAAACACTATGTGCTGTTTCTTTTGCTTAAACACTTGTGTTGGAACAATTTAATTTATTATCATTGCTTCATGCTGTACTGTCGCTTTAAGAAACTGTTTGCTTCTCATATTATAATCTAGTGTGCTCAAGACTAATGGAGAAGTTACCAGACACAGCCACACCCACATTCACACCCACCTTCTTACTCCATACCTATTCATATACTCACACACGATCACATGATATGTAATCTGATACTTTTGTAAACTAAATAAAAGAGCAGAGGAAGGGTGCAGCAACTCGGAGTTGATGAGGAAGCTGCCAGCAGAGCAAGCTGCACTTTCCCTGAAGTGTAACAAGCCTAATATTACAGCTGCTGTATAGAGTGTGTCTGTGTTTGTTGACAGGTGCATGGCAAAGAGTAGAACAAGATTAAAATGGCCACAACTCTTTCACCTTCAGAGTTACTGCAGTCACCAGGATGTTTTTGTGCCTCTGAGCACAGAGAAAAAAAATGGAGGGAAATGAGATTTGATAGGAACTCATTAACACTAAAAACCTTGACCAAGGAAACAGAAAAGCAACAAACGGTGGCTCCGCACTAACCCCTCATTTGAAGCCAACGGTGCAGATGTGTTTAGCCTCTGGGTAGGTCTGATTCCACGGATAATTTAACTATACAAGATTTGTACCTCACAAAACAAAGGTTAGTGGTCTACAGAAAGGTCAAATGCAGCCATTAACCAGTCACCTTTGGCAGACCACTCAAGTGGCAACACTGGAAAACAGTTAAGACCTGATTTACCAACATTGTACAATATTTAGGAGTCATGTTCGAGACACAGAGGATAAATAGCAAAAAATTGGACAACAAAAAAGCAAAAGCAAAACAATTGCTTATACAGAACAAAATAAATTACGACCCTTATGATCCCAAACTGTGCTGTTTTCCTGTTTGGTCTACACACAGACAGAAGTGAAGACGGTCAGTTGACATTCGTATCGCAGGAAAAAAATCTGACCTAGCACAACTCATGACTATCTTGTGTTGTGCTGCTAATAGGCACATCTAGCCTATTATGAAGCCAAATACACTCCACTGTTAGGCCAGTCTGAATGCCCACACACCGGTCCGGTTCATTAAATATTCACTTGGTTCAACGTGGCTGTGCACTTTCAGTCCCACATGGAAGAAGAGGAACTCCATGCAGTGAGGCTCCAGGCAGCTGCTGGATTACAACTGCAACACAGCAGCACCAACCACCGTTGAGCCGCCGTGCTGCCATGTAATCTAAGCTCTGCATTAATTAATCAATACTCATCCCTCTAACAGTCAAATATAAGAAGGCTAGCACGATTGGCAGCGGTAATCTCTTATATCTGCTGTGTCCCATCCACAGTGTGCGCTCCAATCCAAGAACCTTTCCATTTTCTGCCAATAATTATTTGACATAATTGTTAACGTTTTAAAAACAAAGCAGGTTTTTTTCTGCTTCACAAGTAAAAACATGGCTTCAATCGTGCTACAATAACTTTTTATAGCATTTGTAAATGTGTGTTTTTTTAAAGCGTTACTCTGGTGCTGCAGACCTGCAGTTTTAATCTAATTATTATATTCATGTATTCACGATGAATCATTTCTTTTACCAGCACACCACCTGCAGAGAATCAGGTTCATACTGGCTCCGACGTTAGATAGGGTTGGAGTCGGGTCACGATAACCCTCAGTGATTATCCTCAGTGATGGTACAAACATATAAAGAGGGAAAATGTGAAACAGCAATTCCATTTTTCATAATTATTTTTTGACATAGTCTTTCCTCTACCTGATAGGTAACAGACTTTTAGCCTCCACACAGAGTTCAATATTAGCAAACGGTCACTCATTAAATCCTAAAAAGGAACACTCGGCAAACTGTAATACCACAATCAGTCTTTCAAATGATGTCTCTGTCTGTGGACCTTGGTACTCAGATATCACACTGCTGCAGCACAAACATTCCTTGTTTCTTATCTAAGAATTTTCAAACATGGACACAGGACACAGAAGAGGCATTTTAATTTGAGACTCCAAGGACTATGAAAATCTCCCTGAACTAGTTAAGACGTTCTCCTCTCTCTGTGATCAGTTTCTGTGGAGGAGCTCCAGCATTTGAGAAACTGTGGAAGTTTTATTATATATTATATTTTGTGGCAGTAATCCAAGAAACCGGCTCAATTTCACTCAGAAAGTGAATTCAACTGTTAACAATAACATGCAAGTGTGGATCAATATTACTGTGCTCAGAAAACACTGAGTTTCATTTGTTGATAGATGAGTGTGTTCTGTAAGGAGGATAATACAGACACAGTGATAAAACAATGAGATCTTCTAATAGGCTTCAACACTTGACTACTAATGACTACAGAGCACATGGGACTTAATAGAGAATAAAAGGTTATGTAGGCTTGTCTGTTTAAACAGGGAATCAGTGTAACCCTTATGACCTGCCAATACCTACCTCACACACACCCACAAGTCTGGTGCTGTAATAACCATAAACGGTTGTTGATGTAATATAGGATAAAGTCTCATTCAAGTTTTCCAGCGTGTTTACTAGCATTTTTATACCACAGCAAGTAGTACAAGGTACTAATAGGTTGAGTTCAATGTGTATTTCTATTACCGTTATCATTACATTAGGAACTGTTTTAGGGTACATGGGGAGAACTAGGAGCACTAGATCAAGTGTGAAGTGAACAGTTTGCAACTTGGAGAACTCAAAACATTGTTTTTAATTTGTCATTTTTCAAACCCCTATGTTGAAAACCAAACATTTTGTATATTCCAAAGAAGTCCAGGCATAAAGTACTGGTGCAGTTCTGAAAGGAAATAAATTCAGCAAAACCCAGAGATGTTGGGAGGTGGTGGATTGTTTTTATATTCTACAAGCCAAGGGATTTGTTTATGAAAGTTTGTGAAAGTCACCCAGGTCATTTCACCAGTATATTTTTAACAGGAGGCAGATATACTTTTCTTGAGTTTCTATTGACCTCATCAGTTCTGACCTACTGGTGGAAACATTTGGGTCATTGTTGGAGCAGAGAGTTATGATATTAATAATCAACCTCCACCCCTTGATTGAGTTTCATGATGTTGGTTCACCCATGTCAATGTGTGGATGATAATCACAGGAACAGACGCAGGACCATAAAATATGAGGTTTCAAGTTCTATGTAATTGCCTTTTACTTACTTTCCCAATTAAAATGTGTATAATGTGTATTCTTTGTCTGGAATCCTGGCCTGAAAAATTGGAATTGTACTTCTAGTGGATGTTTCACAGTGCTTTGACCACAGTTCCTTTATAACAGTCTGTGATGTTAAAAACTCCAACCACTATACTGTGAAACACAGCTCATATGGAGTGTTTCTTCAAGCAGCTGTGACCTCCTTGCAGCTTCTGGCCTGTGTCTTACCAAAGGGAGGCTCTATCTATTTGTGTTGATTAGATTGCCACGCGAGAAAACATGGTCTCTTCTATTGATACCAAGTTATAACAAACTGACTGCGAGCAACAAATGACACCACTCTATTCTTCTGGCACAAAAGGTCCCAGCTGGTGGCCACTAATAAGAACTTTTCTTTTGGATTTGTTTCAAAAAGCAACAAATGAGACACATTTGTTGCAAAAGACAACAATATCTCATACTGCCACCCAGTCTGCAGGAAAATACATTTTTATGCGTCCTCTGCTGCTGAGTTTATTTAAGATAGGGAAAAAAATCAGCAAGGAGGAAGAAAACATATTTCATCAATGACAAAATGCAGTCAGGTTTAAAAAAAATAACAACAATAAATTGTAAGTATAGTGTGTATGTTGTAATGAATACATTATTTAAAGGTATACAGTAATACTTGCCCTCTTTTGAACTCAGGTTTAAACTAATCTGAACTAATCGGATTCTTTCTTAAACCAGGTGATTGGCTTCAGCTACATGTAGTTTCTGTATTTTACCTCTGGGTGGCTGGGTTTTCTCTGGGTTCTCTGGTTCTCTCTTATCAACCAAAACATACAGGATTATATTGATTTTTTACTCCAATGAATTTGAGTGTGAATAGTTGTCTCTATAGGTGGCCCTTTGCTGGACCGGTGAACCTTAACATGCCCTGTGACTAATGGGATTTACTTAGGCCTCACCTCACCTGATCGTGCTGTAGACAATAGAATTTGGGAAAGAGGCATAATAATTGTTTTAAAATATTAGTTTATATGATATGCATTGAAAGTCTACCTGGGCTCATACAGTGAGAATGCTTCATATTCTTCATCACAGTAAGAAAAACACCAAACTCCTGGTCTGTCATGTATTGACTTATTGGCTGACACATAGCTGGGCCTACAATGAGCTGACTGTTGCTCTGGGACCAATCTCCACTGATCTCTCACAAA